ACTACAGTTTTTAAACTGCAACATTAACACCCCTCCTTCAGAGTGCAGGCACTGTACTTCCCATCTCCAGGACTCAAGTCCGGCCTGCCGGTTTCCCTGAATCCCTTCATAAATGTTACTTTGCTCACACTCCAACAGCACGTCAAGTATTAAAAACCATTTGTCTCCATTCACTCCTATCAAACACGCTCACGCATGCCTGCTGGAAGTCCAAGCCCCTCGCACACAAAACCTCCTTTACCCCCTCCCTCCAACCTTTCCTAGGCCGACCCCTACCCCGCCTTCCTTCCACTACAGACTGATACACTCTTGAAGTCATTCTGTTTCGCTCCATTCTCTCTACATGTCCGAACCACCTCAACAACCCTTCCTCAGCCCTCTGGACAACAGTTTTGGTAATCCCGCACCTCCTCCTAACTTCCAAACTACGAATTCTCTGCATTATATTCACACCACACATTGCCCTCAGACATGACATCTCCACTGCCTCCAGCCTTCTCCTCGCTGCAACATTCATCACCCACGCTTCACACCCATATAAGAGCGTTGGTAAAACTATACTCTCATACATTCCCCTCTTTGCCTCCAAGGACAAAGTTCTTTGTCTCCACAGACTCCTAAGTGCACCACTCACTCTTTTTCCCTCATCAATTCTATGATTCACCTCATCTTTCATAGACCCATCCGCTGACACGTCCACTCCCAAATATCTGAATACGTTCACCTCCTCCATACTCTCTCCCTCCAATCTGATATTCAATCTTTCATCACCTAATCTTTTTGTTATCCTCATAACCTTACTCTTTCCTGTATTCACCTTTAATTTTCTTCTTTTGCACACCCTACCAAATTCATCCACCAATCTCTGCAACTTCTCTTCAGAATCTCCCAAGAGCACAGTGTCATCAGCAAAGAGCAGCTGTGACAACTCCCACTTTGTGTGTGATTCTTTATCTTTTAACTCCACGCCTCTTGCCAAGACCCTCGCATTTACTTCTCTTACAACCCCATCTATAAATATATTAAACAACCACGGTGACATCACACATCCTTGTCTAAGGCCTACTTTTACTGGGAAAAAATTTCCCTCTTTCCTACATACTCTAACTTGGGCCTCACTATCCTCGTAAAAACTCTTCACTGCTTTCAGTAACCTACCTCCTACACCATACACTTGCAACATCTGCCACATTGCCCCCTATCCACCCTGTCATACGCCTTTTCCAAATCCATAAATGCCACAAAGACCTCTTTAGCCTTATCTAAATACTGTTCACTTATATGTTTCACTGTAAACACCTGGTCCACACACCCCCTACCTTTCCTAAAGCCTCCTTGTTCATCTGCTATCCTATTCTCCGTCTTACTCTTAATTCTTTCAATTATAACTCTACCATACACTTTACCAGGTACACTCAACAGACTTATCCCCCTATAATTTTTGCACTCTCTTTTATCCCCTTTGCCTTTATACAAAGGAACTATGCATGCTCTCTGCCAATCCCTAGGTACCTTACCCTCTTCCATACATTTATTAAATAATTGCACCAACCACTCCAAAACTATATCCCCACCTGCTTTTAACATTTCTATCTTTATCCCATCAATCCCAGCTGCCTTACCCCCTTTCATTTTACCTACTGCCTCACGAACTTCCCCCACACTCACAACTGGCTCTTCCTCACTCCTACAAGATGTTATTCCTCCTTGCCCTATACACGAAATCACAGCTTCCCTATCTTCATCAACATTTAACAATTCCTCAAAATATTCCTTCCATCTTCCCAATACCTCTAACTCTCCATTTAATAACTCTCCTCTCCTATTTTTAACTGACAAATCCATTTGTTCTCTAGGCTTTCTTAACTTGTTAATCTCACTCCAAAACTTTTTCTTATTTTCAACAAAATTTGTTGATAACATCTCACCCACTCTCTCATTTGCTCTCTTTTTACATTGCTTCACCACTCTCTTAACTTCTCTCTTTTTCTCCATATACTCTTCCCTCCTTGCATCACTTCTACTTTGTAAAAACTTCTCATATGCTAACTTTTTCTCCCTTACTACTCTCTTTACATCATCATTCCACCAATCGCTCCTCTTCCCTCCTGCACCCACTTTCCTGTAACCACAAACTTCTGCTGAACACTCTAACACTACATTTTTAAACCTACCCCATACCTCTTCGACCCCATTGCCTATGCTCTCATTAGCCCATCTATCCTCCAATAGCTGTTTATATCTTACCCTAACTGCCTCCTCTTTTAGTTTATAAACCTTCACCTCTCTCTTCCCTGATGCTTCTATTCTCCTTGTATCCCATCTACCTTTTACTCTCAGTGTAGCTACAACTAGAAAGTGATCTGATATATCTGTGGCCCCTCTATAAACATGTACATCCTGAAGTCTACTCAACAGTCTTTTATCTACCAATACATAATCCAACAAACTACTGTCATTTCGCCCTACATCATATCGTGTATACTTATTTATCCTCTTTTTCTTAAAATATGTATTACCTATAACTAAACCCCTTTCTATACAAAGTTCAATCAAAGGGCTCCCATTATCATTTACACCTGGCACCCCAAACTTACCTACCACACCCTCTCTAAAAGTTTCTCCTACTTTAGCATTCAAGTCCCCTACCACAATTACTCTCTCACTTGGTTCAAAGGCTCCTATACATTCACTTAACATCTCCCAAAATCTCTCTCTCTCCTCTGCATTCCTCTCTTCTCCAGGTGCATACACGCTTATTATGACCCACTTCTCGCATCCAACCTTTACTTTAATCCACATAATTCTTGAATTTACACATTCATATTCTCTTTTCTCCTTCCATAACTGATCATTTAACATTACTGCTACCCTTCCTTTGCTCTAACTCTCTCAGATACTCCAGATTTAATCCCATTTATTTCCCCCCACTGAAACTCTCCTACCCCCTTCAGCTTTGTTTCGCTTAGGGCCAGGACATCCAACTTCTTTTCATTCATAACATCAGCAATCATCTGTTTCTTGTCATCCGCACTACATCCACGCACATTTAAGCAACCCAGTTTTATAAAGTTTTTCTTCTTCTCTTTTTTAGTAATTGTATACAGGAGAAGGGGTTACTAGCCCATTGCTCCCGGCATTTTAGTCGCCTCATACGACACGCATGGCTTACGGAGGAAAGATTCTTTTCCACTTCCCCATGGACAATAGAAGAAATAAAAAAGAACAAGAGCTATTTAGAAAAAGGAGAAAAACCTAGATGTATGTATATATATATATATGCATGTGCGTGTCTGTGAAGTGTGACCAAAGTGTAAGTAGGAGTAGCAAGATATCCCTGTTATCTTAGCGTGTTTATGAGACAGAAAAAGAAACCAGCAATCCTACCATCATGCAAAACAGTTACAGGTTTTTGTTTCACAGTCATCTGGCAGGACGGTAGTACTTCCCTGGGTGGTTGCTGTCTACCAACCTACTACCTAGCACTTATCTAATCTGTTACAGAAATGTCCGCTTTTCTAAGGAAGGTAGAGAAATCATGTTCGTTTGAGATGGTATATTGTTGTCCTGTTGATGTTTTCCTTACTAGTATTTTCCCATCTCGCGTGAAACACTGATGTATTTTGTTTTCCTGTTTAAGTTTTCTCAGCCTGAACAGAAGGTTTTGACATTTTCTTGTTAGACACTCATTTATGTACACTCCATTTTTCATTGTAATTGCTGATTTAATTAGGTCCTTTCTTTTATCATATGAATGAAGTCGGATCATTATACTGTGTTTACTTCCTGGTTTTCCTAGCAAATGTGTTTCTTTGATTTCATTGTTTTGCACGATGACATGTACGTGGTTCTGCATTATCCTGACAGCAGTTTCTTTGCACTGTGCTTGGGTTGTCACTTGGAATGTGTGGACTGTTTATTATAACTGCATCAGACAACTTATCTTCTTCAGTTTTGTCGTCTTGGAAATCAAGGTATTCATTTAGTCGAGTGTGCATGTTCTGATTCCAGTCCTTGATTGCTTCTTCAACCTTCATATTTATTGTAGTTATTTGTTCGGTGTGACTGGCTATAGCTGCTTTCAGAGTATTTTCTGTGTCAACACTTCCCGATGTAATCTTCTCTTCAAGGTTTTGGATCTTGTTCTTGAGGTTGGTTATCTTGGATTCTCGTCGTTCGAGTGTTGCTTTGATATCAAAGTAGAATAACATGGAAAGCATATAAATCTATAGGGGAAGGAAGGCGGGGTAGGGGTCGTCCTCGAAAGGGTTGGAGAGAGGGGGTAAAGGAGGTTTTGTGGCAAGGGGCTTGGACTTCCAGCAAGCGTGCGTGAGCGTGTTAGATAGGAGTGAATGGAGATGAATGGTACTTGGGACCTGACAATCTGTTGGAGTATGAGCAGGGTAATATTTAGTGAAGGGATTCAGGGAAACCGGTTATTTTCATATAGTCGGACTTGAGTCCTGGAAATGGGAAGTACAATGCCTGCACTTTAAAGGAGGGGTTTGGGATATTGGCAGTTTGGAGGGATATGTTGTGTATCTTTATATGTGTATGCTTCTAAACTGTTGTATTCTGAGCACCTCTGCAAAAACAGTGATAATGTGCGAGTGTGGTGAAAGTGTTGAATGATGATGAAAGTATTTTCTTTTTGGGGATTTTCTTTCTTTTTTTGGGGTCACCCTGCCTCGGTGGGATATGACCGACTTGTTGAAAAAAAAAAATAATAAAAACTTAAAGGATTTAATTTTTGGAACATTATTGCAGTACAGTATACATATGGAACCTTACTCTGGGTTGCAAATCTTACTGATATTATTTTTATTGTTTGCACAGTACAGTGTTTGTAGTGTACATGCTATACTTTTATTTCATGTTTTAAATATACATTCAATTTTATATGGCAAGAATTAACATCTCGTATGTATACATTTAGAGCTATATGACTCCTTATAGCCCTGTAGTGGAAAAATAAATTGTAACTTGACATTGTTCAACAGGGTACTGGGGCCACGTTGTATTCTTTCATCTATCCACCGCAAGGAACCTATACCTCAGCTCCCTTCACCTATACATAATACTGCAATGAAGGGTCTTGTCATCACTACATCTGGATTTAGAAAAGAAGCAAAGGCAGAACTCCAGTGTCTGGTTGAGAGGATGGCAGGCATCTACTTAAACATCTTCCATACAAATGTCACACACGTAGTAGCAAATTCTGTGGGAAGCGACAAATATTTTGTGAGTATTTCTCATATTTTTAGAAATTAATGAGCACTTCAACATATATCCAGCACACCGTACAGAACATCAGAAATGAGACAAAGCAATCACAAGCTTCTAGCCATTTCTCACACTTTAAAATAGGAATTCTTTCAGAGGGAATAGCTTTGACTTGTTCCATACTCATTATATACGGGATATGATCAGTTTGTAGCAGCATATAGTAATTCTTTTCAAGATAGATTTAATATTGCAGTTGATATTTTCCTTTCAGGTTGCAGTAAAAGAAGAAACTCCTATAATGACTGGTGAATGGGTGAAAGCTGTATGGAAAGCTGCAAGTGAGGATTTTCGTGAAGATATATTAGCCACTGATGAACAGTTTCTGTCCTATGCATGTCCAGTATTTAAAGGCCTTGTTATATGTGTGTCTCAGATGCCCCGCAAAGAAAAAGAGGCACTAAAAAAAATAATTGAGGAAAATGGTAAGGGTTTCTTGTTTTTTCTGATGTTTATTTAGAGTACAATATAGGTATGTGACATATATCACTGTAATAGGGAAGGAGTAAAAAAGGCTTTGAGTTTTAGGGGCTTGTTCATCCAGCAGGCTTGTGTAAGCAGGTTAGATAGGAGTGAATGGTCAAGTGATTTTAACCCTTTCAGGGTCAGATCCCCTGCTCAGAGAATTGCTCTCAGGGTCAAAGAATTTAAAAAAAAAAAAAATTCTCATGAAGTGATGGAGAATAGTTTTCCGAAGGTAATGAAACAAAAAGTATGAAATTTGATGGGAAAACTTATGGAATTACGTTCTCGTGAAATTAGCAGTCTTGGTGATATTTAGGCATCAGCAATTTTGCCCACTTTGAGTCTTATTTTCAGCCAGTTTTATTGTTCCAGTTGAGCAAAAATTTCACTAGTATTCGTTCTATTGATTGAATACAAGAAACTGCCTGTTTATCTATTTCAACTACCCAATAAAGTGATCTGAAATCAGTAATTTGGCCAATTTCACACAGAATAAACAATGTAGAAATTCCTGGCATTAGAAAAAATTTCATCTGCTCATTAGTTGTGTCCCCAAGCCTCTCTATTATGCTGCTTTCCATTTTTAATTTTTATTCACACAAACAATAGAAGACTTATTGTTATGCAGACTACTGCATTATTGTAGTAATTATATAAATAATGTCAGCGCATTTGTAGACACTTATTACACCGACCAATTGGACACACATTGGACAAGTGACGTAATTTCTGTGCTCTGGAATATTGTCAAAAATCAAACATTTATGCAACTTTGAGCTCAATTTCAAGCTACTTTCAGTTCTGAAACCAATCAAAATCATCTCTATTTCTATAATGCATCTTCCAGTCTATCAAATGAGACCATAAAAACCATATGAAAATATCTACACGGCAAAGTTACTGTTTTAAATCAAAACATGTCCGCAGTTTTTTTCTCATTATGCACAGCTTGCTGTAGGGTTTTTTATATAGGGTGCACACTTAACATATAGACCCATTCTCATATCTAGGTCCAGATTTACTGTTCACAGATGTCTGAGTGAGCTGAGCTCGTGGCATAGTACTATGGAACTGACCCCGCGCTTCAAAGCTGTAGTACAACGGGGCTCGTCCTGAAAGGGTTAATGGAAGTATTGTTGGAGTGTAAACAAGGTAACTTGTAGGAAGGGATTCAGGAAAACTGGTTAGCCAGAGGTCTGCTGATACTACATTTCAGATTCCCCTCCAAAATTAAAACATATCCTTCTTCCCTCCAAAGCACAGGCACTGTACTTTCCACTTCCAGGACTAGAGTCCAGTTTAATGGTTTCCCCGAGTCCCTTCACAAATATTACCTTACTCACGCTCCAACAGCTCATGTGTGTATATATTGTTCTAATTTGTTCATTTCCTTCCCAACCCTTCACGCATTCAGTTTTTTCTGCTTTTATAGTATTAATTTATACAGTACTGTACTTTTAACTCTTGTACTCCCATTTTCTTTCATCATTATTTTTCCTTTTTCTCCATAGTGTATGGAATAAATGGGAATGGATACTTATACTCTTGTTATAAACTAAAAATATTTAAACATCTATTAGTAATCTGTAAATATCAGAAGAAAGTTAGATCTTTTATCATTTTAGTCATACTATTGAATATTTATAAACTGATATTTCTTATGACCTGTTGCCCTGGGTCACTCGGTAGTACTTAGCTGAACAGAGGATCATGATCAAGGGCTGATGTCTTTATTATTAAAATCATTAGCGGTGTGAATCGTGGTCATTAGAGGCGACTGTTATCACAAGTGGGGAGAGGCTTATGGCCCATGGTTATTAATCCTATGATAGGTCATGAAACATTGCTGGTGTTGGTTATTCTTTGCACAGTCAAGAGGGTGTTTGGCAGTGAATTTTGTCATATTAGGCCATGTGACTGGTGTTGACTGTTTTTATTATTTATTAATTTCCTCTATTTATCAGGTGGCACATACTCCAGTACCTTGGACATGTCTGGTACATCTGTGCTTATTATACCCACTCCGGAGGGGGATAAGTACAGCTATGCTCGAAACTGGCGCATACAGTGTTTGACTCCTGATTGGATCTATGACTCTGTTGAGCATGGCTCTGCTGTTCAAATGGATGGCTATAAAGTTACAAATCGTGGAGCCTCTACCCCAACCAGCGATACTAGTAATGCAAATAGTAAGTTTTAGAGAACTATGACCATACTTCACTCTTATAAACAACTTTTAAATATGGTAAAGTTTAGATGTATAAATGACCCTATTTTGACATGCAGTAATAATCATAGTAAAATCAGTCAATTATAATTTTAATTAATTCTGTGAAGATTGAATAATTTGCGTATTCTTATTGCAGTACTTCCGGACATTTCTCTTTGTAGCACCATAAATATGACAGCAGTGTCAAAAATGTCACAAGTGAATGAGACGGTAAATATGGAGACATCAATGGCTTTGAAAAAGGAATCTGTTGCTGATGAGAGAGGTAAGTTTTTATTTAATGCTATGACTGAGAAAGTGAACTAAAATTTGACTTCTAAGCCTTAGAAAATAGGAAATGAAATTCAGTGTAAATGGGAATTTTTTTTTAATTCACTGTCGACTAACATCGGTAATTCACTATCGACTAACATCGGTAATGTTCTTGTTTATTTCCTCTTATCTCCATGGGGAAGAGGAACAGAATTCTTCCTCCATAAGCCATGTGTGTTGTAAGAGGTAACTAAAATACCAGGAGCAAGGGGCTAGTAACCCCTTCTCCTGTATGAATTACTAGGAGGAATAACATCTTGTAGGAGTGAGGAAGAGCCAGTTGCGAGTGTGGGGGAAGTTCGTGAGGCAGTAGGTAAAATGAAAGGGGGTAAGGCAGCTGGGATTGATGGGATAAAGATAGAAATGTTAAAAGCAGGTGGAGATATAGTTTTGGAGTGGATGGTGCTATAATTGAATAAATGTATGGAAGAGGGTAAGGTACCTAGGGATTGGCAGAGAGCATGCATAGTTCCTTTGTATAAAGGCAAAGGGGACAAAAGAGAGTGCAAAAATTATAGGGGGATAAATCTGTTGAGTACCTGGTAAAGTGTATGGTAGAGTTATTATTGAAAGAATTAAGAGTAAGACTGAGAATAGGATAGCAGATGAACAAGGAGGCTTTAGGAAAGGTAGGGGTGTGTGGACCAGGTGTTTACAGTGAAACACATAAGTGAACAGTATTTAGATAAGGCTAAAGAGGTTTTTGTGGCATTTATGGATTTGGAAAAGAAAGTATGACAGAGTGGATAGGGGGGCAATGTGGCAGATGTATGGTATAGGAGGTAGGTTACTGAAAGCAGTGAAGAGTTTTTATGAGGATAGTGAGGCTCAAGTTAGAGTATGTAGGAAAGAGGGAGATTATTTCCCAGTAAAAGTAGGCCTTAGGCAAGGATGTGTGATGTCACCGTGGTTCAATATATTTATAGATGGGGTTGTAAGTGAAGTAAATGCGGGTCTTGGCAAGAGTGTGGAGTTAAAAGATAAAGAATCACACATAAAGTGGGAGTTGTCACAGTTGCTCTTTGCTGATGACACTGTGCTCTTGGGTGATTCTGAAGAGAAGTTGCAGAGGTCGGTGGATGAATTTGGTAGGGTATGTAAAAGAAGAAAATTAAAAGTGAATACAGGAAAGAGTAAGGTTATGAGGATAACAAAGATTAGGTGATGAAAGAGTGGATATCAGATTGGAGGGAGAGAGTATGGAGATGGTGAATGTATTCAGATGTTTGGGAGTGGACGTGTCAGTGGATGGGTCTATGAAAGATGAGGTGAATCATAGAATTGATAAGGGGAAAAGGGTGAGCGGTGCACTTTGGAGTCTGTGGAGACAAAGAACTTTGTCCTTGGAAGCAAAGAGGGGAATGTATGAGAGTATAGTTTTACCAATGCTCCTGTATGGGTGTGAAGCATGGGTGATGAATGTTGCAGCGAGGAGAAGGTTGGAGGCAGTGGAGATGTCATGTCTGAGGGCAATGTGTGGTGTGAATATAATGCAGAGAATTCGTAGTTTGGAAGTTAGGAGGTGTGGGATTGCCAAAACTGTTGTCCAGAGGGCTGAGGAAGGGTTGCTGAGGTGGTTTGGAAATGTAGAGAGAATGGAGCGAAACAGAATGACTTCAAGAGTGTATCAGTCTGTAGTGGAAGGAAGGCGGGGTAGGGGTCGGCCTAGGAAAGGTTGGAGGGAGGGGTAAAGGAGGTTTTGTGTGCGAGGGGCTTGGACTTCCAGCGGGCATGCGTGAGCGTGTTTGATAGGAGTGAATGGAGACAAATGGTTTTTAATACTTGACGTGCTGTTGGAGTGTGAGCAAAGTAACATTTATGAAGGGATTCAGGGAAACCGGCAGGCCGGACTTGAGTCCTGGAGATGGGAAGTACAGTGCCTGCACTCTGAAGAAGGGGTGTTAATGTTGCAGTTTAAAAACTGTAGTGTAAAGCACCCTTCTGGCAAGACAGTGATGGAGTGAATGATGGTGAAAGTTTTTCTTTTTCGGGCCACCCTGCTTTGGTGGGAATCGGCCAGTGTGTTAATAATAAAAAAAAAAAAGAAAAACTTGTTTTTATTTTTGGATCACCCTGCTTCAGTGGGATATGGCTTGTTTGTTGAAAAAAAAATGAAAATAAATTTCTTATTAGTGTTTCAAAGAATGGAAAACTTTTTGAGCAGAGTTTAATGTACCACAAGGTCTGCAATACCAGTTTTCCCTCCTTAATAATAACCTTGTTCAGGCTTGTAGTTGACTCCTGCTACCTTTGTTTTTTATGGAATGCTCTTTTTTTTCTAGTAGCATTTCAACCCACTTCAAATCTCTCTCAAATATCAAATGAATGTCCAATGTAATGGCCTTCTTTGACATGGAGCAAATATGACATTCCTTACAACTCAGTGGAATAGTTTGAGAGATTAATACTACTACTGATATGTGACAATAATTCTGCAGTACTGTTTTAAAATCAAAACAAAGGCTGTCCTAAATATACTAAATTGATTGGAAAAACTATACAGACCCATAGGCTAACCAACTAGAGGAATGATTAATTTTTTTTTATTTTTTGCTATATTACAGACATTTTTGAAATTTTCAGTGAATCTTGGACTGGAAGCTATTGAAAATCTAGATTTGCAACAAGCATTGAAAGCTGGAGTCTTTTTGGATGGATGCAAGATCTTCTTGTTTGGATTTACCACAGCACATATGGAAAAGCTGCGCCGAGTCCTTAACGCCGGAGGAGCAACTCGCTTCAATCAACTGAATGAATCTGTTTCTCATGTTGTTTTAGGTCTGTAAGGCTTAGAAATATTTTGTTCCTCTTATGGCAGAGTGATCTTTACCCGGCTTTTATTTTCATTGGGTGGAGGAGGTACCCACGTGGCAAAAAAAATTATTCTGGAAAAATTTCAGTAGAGAAAATCAGAAGTGATACTTCCATTTTCCACATTTCACATAACCCCAGTACTACCACGCTAGGTAAGCGTCCACAGCAAAAATTCCCTCATTTCCCTAAAGCCTCCCAAATAAAAATAGTAATAATAATAATGCTGCTCTGCAACAAGCCTTTTAACCTTCCTTTCCATCTGGATAGCCACAACAAAGTCTTCCTTGTATAGAAATTCTAGTGCCACCCCTGGAATTATCTAAGAAAATAAGTTGCCAATTATTCACTCTCATAAATTGATTGCTTTCATAATTTGAACATGGGCTGAATATGGCATGATTGGGATGTAAAGGAGTTGGTGTTGAGATGATAATCATAGATTACTGGATTGGGAGCTTTGCAATCTGTATATGGAAAGGCTCTTTGAAAACATAAATGGACCAGATCAGATCAGGGTTATATCTTAATAGGTTGCCTGGTGGTTAGAAAGGCATATTTAGAGGGGCATCCCAGTGGTTAGAAGGGCATATTTAAATGGGCTGCCTAGTGGCTCATTTGTGCTTTGGGAAAACAGTATCAGGTGTAAGTGGCTAAGTTAACAAGTTCAACTGAATAATGTTAAGGTGAGCTAAATAATATTTTTCCTTGTGTATATCTGTCCATCTTGTATTTACTCCTCTCTCTTTTTAACCTTTGACTGTCGCAGCCGTATATACAGTATACGTCTTACGAGGTACCGTGTTTGACGTATATATACTCGTAAATTCTAGCGGCTTCAAATCAAGCAGGAGAAAGCTGGTAGGCCCACATGTGAGAGAATGGGTCTGTGTGGTCAGTGTGCACCATATAAAAAAAATCCTGGAGCACGCAGTGCATAATGACTTTGTGGTCTATTTTTGTATAGTATTTATGGTTGTATTCTCGTTTTCTTGGTCTCATTTGATAGAATGGAAAACATATTATAGAAATAGACGTGATTTTGATTGATTTTACTATAAAAAGAACCTGGAAATGGAGCTCAAAGTAGGGGAAATGTTTGATTTTTGCCAATGTTCAAAAGTAAACAAATGATGTCATTGTCCAATAAATGTCCAACTAGCTATTCTAATATGCAATCATGAATGGGTTGATGTTATTTATACAATTATTACAGTATTGCAGTAGTCTGCATAATAATAAGTCTTCTATTTTTTGTTTGAATAAAAATTCAAAATAGAAAGCAAGAGTAATATCAGAGGGGCCTGGAGACATGACTGATGAACAAAGAAAATGTTATTTTAGAGCCAGGAATGTCTGCATTGTTCATTCTGGACCTTATTTTGAAATTGTCATATTTTTTAATTTTCGTGAAATTGGCCAAATTGCAAATTTCTGACCACATTATTGGGTAGTTAAAATCAGTAAATGGGCAGCTTCTTGTACTCAATCGATAGAAAAAATGGAGTTCTAAAGAAATAGCTATGAGTTTGGTAGGGTGGAACAACGGAATTAGCCGAAAATAGGGCTCAAAGTGGGCGAAATCGCTGATTTGTAAATATCGCCTAGGTCGCTAACTTCGCGAGAGCATAATTCCGTCAGTTTTCCATCAAATTTCGTTTTTTTGGTGTCATTACAACCGGGAAAAGATTCTCTATCATTTCATAAGAAATTTTTTTTTTTTTTTTAAATTTTGCGACACCAGGAGACACCTCAGGATTGGGGGTTGCGACAGTCAAGGGGTTAAGATGGGTAGTTGATTTTCATCCTTCTCCAGGTATCTTCACTAGTCTTTTGCCAGGCACTTCTAATTGTTCATTAATCTTAATGCTTTTTCTATTCATTGTCTTGCACTTCTATCGGCTTACAACAACAATAATTAAATTAAATATAAATGTATTTGTTAACAGGAAAAAGAGGTGAAGAACTCCTCAGTGCTACCCAGACATGGATGGCCAAGCCCCATGTTGTTTATGCTGATTGGATTATAGAAAGCATCAAACAGAAACGACCGGCAGATGAATCTCCATTTGCCTATTTGCTGGACCCTGAAAGCTGTAATATTTCGAAGAAAGCAGTTAAAATTTTGAAAAGTTCTACATCTACTTCACCAAATAATAATGAAACCTTTGTGGATGAAGAAATTCTTAATCAGTATTTAAAAGCACCAAAATACGAAGATGTAAAGGATGTCACTGTGAATGAATCGGCTAATATGTCTTCTCTCCCAGACTCTCAAGCTTCTTTCTTGCCAGGAATATTCAGTGGTAAGTTACTGATCAGGTAATTTGTGTTTAAGGGTGAGTAAGGTAACATGAATGGATTCAGAGATGATGATTAGGCAGACTTGTGTCCTGGAGGTAGGAAGTGCAGTTCCTGCACTCAAGAGGAGTGAGAATACTGTAGTTATGGCCATTTGTGTGATGTCAGCACGCTTCTGCTTCGGTGGGAAACAGAAAGTACGTTTAAAAAATTATTCTTTTTGTATTTATGCTTATTGTTTACTTTTTACTACTATGCTTATGTATAGAATGTATTTAAGTATTAGTTACATTCAAATTTTCATAGCCTCTGTAATTACTGTACTAGTCTCTCTACTCAGCTTATCTTGCATAGGCTGTCAATTACAGTATTTAGCAAACTATGCTTACAGATTTTTATTTTTTTTTTTACCCTAGGAAAAGTGTTTACTGTGTCTGGTTACAGTGAGGAGACAGTTGAGGACATAGTTACAGGAATCCTTGATGAAGGAGGAAAAATTGTTCCCCTAAATTACCAGGGCCATGTTCATTTTTCATTGCTGAGCACTGAGGGACGTGGAACAATTCATTCCAAAGCAGAAGAAGTAATATCACCAGTTTTCATTGAAGATTGTTTAGAAAAGAAGGTAAACAATTCTCAGTCTTAAAAAATGAGTAAACAAATTGAATTGGCTTTGTAATTATTTCTTTCTTTCTTTCAACACACCGGCCATATCCCACCGAGGCGGGGTGGCCCAAAAGGAAAAACGAAAGTTTCTCCTTTTACATTTAGTATTATATACAGAAGAGGTTACTAGCCCCTTGCTCCCGGCATTTTAGTTGCCTCTTACAACATGCATGGCTTACGGAGGAAGAATTCTGTTCCACTTCCCCATGGAGATAAGAGGAAATAAAAAAGAATAAGAACTAGAAAGAAAATAGAAGAAAGCCCAGAGGGGTGTGTGTATATATATGCTTGTACATGTATGTGTAGTGTGACCTAAGTGTAAGTAGAAGTAGCAAGACATACCTGAAATCTTGCATGTTCATGAGACAGAAAAAAGGACACCAGCAATCCTACCATCATGTAAAACAATTACAGGTTTTAGTTTTACACTCACTTGGCAGGACGGTAGTACCTCCCTGGGCGGTTGCTGTCTACCAACCTACTACCGAGGTTGTAATTATTGCCCAATTTAAATTTGAGTTTCAAGCATGATTTTATTTTGTTTTTATTTATTGAGGTACCCCAGTAGGACAGTGCTTGAAGACCCATATGGGTTTCCTGTAGTGGAAATCCCAGGAGTTCCACCTGAAATATGTCGTGGTTACCCTTAGTAGTATTTGCTGCTTCGGCTTGAAGGATCCTCGCACTCTTCATGTTTTAGTATAGGGGCTTCTTTCATCACCACTTGTAAGTCATCTTTTGTTTTGGGAGCCCAATAAATCTTTAAAGCCCAGTTGTTATCCTTACGTAGTAGAGTAAATACATCTCTGAACATGTGTTTTGAGTTGATTTAGCTAGGCCCTTGGTGGCTCTGTGATTGCCTTCAAGATTTGCCAAGGTCTTTATTGTTTTTCTAGGATACCTGCTCTGGATGGTCTTTTGCTTTATTGAACAGGCCTTGTGACAGGAAGAAAAGTGATAACTGTTTAGCAGCAAGGAAAATTTTGCCTCATCCTGGATTTGAAGGACCCAAGCCTTTACATTCCTATGAAGAAGTTCATAATGCAATCCTCCTCCTCCTAGGCTCGCTTTCCTTGTTTCAATCAGGGTGAGCTGCTGCCATTGACCTTAAAAAGGTTATCCTTCCATTTTTTATAGTGTGAAATATAAGCCAATTTGTGACTGCCTTTCAGGCATAGTATGATGCAGTGGATTTTTTGACACATTTGCCAGCCTTCTTTTTTAGGATGGATTTGTGTTCACCTGCTTAGAATACTATGACATTCCAAGTGTTTTATGACAGTTGCCAGTGACTCGGGTACCAGCAGTAGCACATCATAGATTTATGGTATTTACACACATTTGAATTCTTTTAATTTTTTTTTCCACAAGACCCTATTAACCCTTTCAGGGTCTGTGCCATAGTTCTACAGTTTTGAGTTGAGGGTCCAAACCGTAGATCTACGCCATGAGCTCAGCTCGCCTTGATAAGCTGTGAGCAGTAAATTTGGGCCTAGATATGAGAGAATACATCTATGTGGTATGTGTGCACCACATGAAACAAATTCTGCAGCACACGGTGCATAATGAGAGAAAAAAACCGAGACTAATTTTCTGTTAAAACAGCGACTTTGCAGTGTTTTTTCGTATGTGTTTTTGATAGTTGTAGTTGCGATTTCTTGGTCTCATTTGATAGAATGGAAGATATATTACAGAAATAGAGATGATTTTGATTGGTTTTAGTACTGGAAATGGCTTGAAACTGAGCTCAAAGTAGCGGAAATGTTAAATTTTTGCCGATGATCAAGAGTAAACAAATGACCTCACATGTCTAATACACACCAGCTGGTGGGTCTAATATACATTCACAAATGTGGTGATAGTATTTATACAATTATTACAATATTGCATAACGGTAAATCTATGTTTTGGTTTGAATAAAAATTCCTTATGTGAATAAAAAATCAAAATGGAATTCATTTGTAAAGCCAGAAAACATAACTAATGAACAGAGGAAATGTTAGTTTAGTGCCAGGAATGCCTGCATTGTTTATTCTGGACCCTATTTTGAAACGAATACCATTTTGAACTTTGCGTTAAATTGGCCAAATTTCCAATTTCCGGTCGCTATTTTGTAGTTGAAACAGTTGACTTGGCAATTTCTTGTGCTCAATCGATAGAATAGAAGTAATACTAGTGAAATAGCTAAGAATTTGGTCAACTGGAATAATGTAATTGGCATAAAATGGGAGTCAAAGTCGGCAAAATCGCCAGTGCGGAAATATCACAGACACAAAAATTCGCGAGATCATAATTTTGTCAATTTTCCATCAAATTTCTTACTTTTTATTTTATTTTTTTTTTTTTTTTTTTCAACAAGTCGGCCGTCTCCCACCGAGGCAGGGTGACCCAAAAAAGAAAGAAAATCCCCAAAAAGAAAATACTTTCAATCTCCTGATTGCTGATGTTATGAATGAAAAGAAGTTGGCTGCCCTGGCCCTAAGCGAAACAAAGCTGAAAGGGGTAGGGGAGTTTCGGTGGGGAGAAATAAATGGGATTAAGTCGGGAGTATCTGAGAGAGTTAGAGCTAAGGAAGGGGTAGCAATAATGTTGAAGGATCAGTTATGGAAGGAGAAAAGGGAATATAAATGTGTAAATTCAAGGATTATGTGGATTAAAATAAGGGTTGGATGCGAAAAGTGGGTCATAATAAGCGTGTATGCACCTGGAGAAGAAAGGAATGTAGAGCAGGGGGAGAGAGATTTTGGGAGATGTTAAGTGAATGTATTGGAACTTCTGAACCAGGTGAGAGAGCAGTTGTGGTAGGGGACCTCAATGCTAAAGTAGGAGAAACATTTAGAGAGGGTGTGGTAGGTAAGTTTGGGGTGCCAGGTGTAAATGATAATGGGAACCCTTTGATTGAACTTTGTATAGAAAGGGGTTTAGTTACAGGTAATACATATTTTAAGAAAAAGAGGATAAATAAGTATACAAGATATGATGTAGGGCGTAATGACAGTAGTTTGTTGGACTATTTATTGGTAGATAATTCTGTTGAGTAGACTTCAGGATGTACATGTTTATAGAGGGGCCACAGATATATCGGATCACTTTTAGTTGTAGCTACAGTGAGAGTAAAAGGTAGATGGGATACAAGGAAAATAGAAGCAACAAGTAAGAGAGAGGTGAAGGTTTATAAACTGAAAGAGGAGGCAGTTAGGGTAAGATAAAAACAACTACTGGAGGATAGATGGGCTAGTGAGAGTATAGGCAATGGGGTTGAAGATGTATGGGGTAGGTTTAAATATGTAGTGTTAGTGTTCAGCAGAAGTTTGTGGTTACAGGAAAGTGGGTGCGGGAGGGAAGAGGAGCGATTGGTGGAATGATGATGTAAAGAGTAGTAAGGGAGAAAAAGTTAGCATATGAGAGATTTTTACAAAGTAGAAGTGATGCAAGGAGGCAAGAGTGTATGGAAAGAAAATGAGAGGCTAAAAGAGTGGTGAAGCAATATAAAAAGAGAGCAAATGAGAGAGTGGGTGAGATGTTATCAACAAATTTTGTTAAAAATAAGAAAAAGCTTTGGCGTGAGATTACCAAGTTGAGGAAGCCTAGGGAACAAATGGATTTGTCAGTTAAAAATAGGAGAGGAGAGTCATTAAATGGAGAGTTAGAGGTATCGGGAAGATGGAGGGAATATTTTGAGGAATTGTTAAATGTTGATGAAGATAGGGAATCTGTGATTTCGTGTATAGGGCAAGGAGGAATAACATCCTGTAGGAGTGAGGAAGAGCCAGTTGTGTGTGGGAGAAGTTCATGAGGCAGTGGGTAGAATGAAAGGGGGTAAGGCAGCTGGGATTGATGGGATAAAGATAGAAATGTTAAGAGCAGGTGGGGATATAGTTTTGGAGTGGTTGGTGCTATTATTTAATAAATATATGGAAGAGGGTAAGGTACCTAGGGATTGGCAGAGAGCGTGCATAGTTCCTTTGTATAAAGGCAAAGGGGACAAAAGAGAGTATACCTGGTAAAGTGTATTGTAGTTATTATTGAAAGAATTAAGTGTAAGGCAGAGAGTAGGATAGCAGATGAACAAGGAGGCTTTAGGAAAGGTAGGGGGTGTGTAGACCAAATGTTTACAGTGAAACATATAGGTGAACAGTATTTAGATAAGGCTAAAGAGGTTTTTGTGGCATTTATGGTTTTGGAAAAGGCATATGACAGGGTGGATAGGGGGGCAATGTGGCAGATGTTGCAGGTGTATGGTATAGGAGGTAGGTTACTGAAAGCAGTGAAGAGTTTTTACGAGGATAGTGAGGCTCAGTTAGAGTCTGTAGGAGAGGGAGATTATTTCCCAGTAAAAGTAGGCCTTAGACAAGGATGTGTGATGTCACCGTGGTTGTTCAGTATATTTATAGATGAGGTTGTAAGAGAAAGGAATGCGAGGGTCTTGGCAAGAGGTGTAGAGTTAAAAGATGAAGATTCAAACACAAAGTGGGAGTTGTCACAATTGCTTTTTGCTGATGACATTGTGCTCTTGGGAGATTCTGAAGAGAAGTTGCAGAGGTTGGTGGATGAATTTGGTAGGGTATATAAAAGAAGAAAATTAAAATGAATATAGGAAGGAGTAAAGTTGTAAGGATAACAAAATGATTAGGTGATGGAAGATTGGATATCAGATTAGAGGGAGAGAGCATAGAGGAGGTGAATGTATTCAGATACAGTGGAACCTCAAAAATCGAACTTGATCCGTTCCAGGAGCTAGTTCTAAATTCGAAAAGTCTGAAATTCGAAGCGATATTTCCCATAAGAAATAATGGAAATACAATTAATCCGTTCCAGAATCCCAAAAATGTTCACACAAAAAATACATTTTATAGAGATTAATTACAGTTTTACATACAACAAATACTATATTTTTTAATTATGTATAGTAATACATATAAAATAACATTTTTACTTACCTTTATTGAAGATTGGTGATGGCATCTGGAAGATAGGGAGGAGGAGAGAGGGAGTTGGGGTTAGTGTTTGGAAGGAGAATTCCCCTCCATGAGGACTTCAGGTAAAGCCCTCTCTGGGGTTACTTCCCTTCTCTGTCTTTTAATGCCACTAGGACCAGCTTGAGAGTCACTGGACCCCTGTCTCACAAAATAACTGTCCACAGTCCTCTGTTTCTGGCGCCTCTTTAACATTTCCCTAAAATGGGACATGATTCTGTCACTGAACTTGTTGCAAAGATGGCTTGTTTCAGCTTGCTCAGGGTGGTACTTCTGCACAAACATTTGGACATCATTCCACTTGGCACAAATCTCCTTAATCTTTGAAGAAGGCACCTCATCTACTCCCTATATTAACACCTTTCGCAACATCAGCTTCCTTGATTTGTTCTTTCTTTGACAGGATAGAACCGATGGTTGACTTGTTTTTCCCATACATCCTGGCAAGCTCAACAACTCTCACACCACTCTCATACTTCTGTATTATTTCCTTCTTCACATCTATGGTGTTTGTCACTTTCTTTACCACAGGGGTACCACTAGCAAGTTTCTTTGGGCCCATGGCAGCTTATTTCACAGTCCCACAAGCACTAAACATAACGAAATAATCGTAAAATGCGTGAATGAGAGCGCAGGTTAGTGTTCACTCAAGCATAAACAAAGCTAGACTGCTCACGGCGCCTGAGCGGGAACGCAGACAGAGCAGGCAGCAGACAGGTCCCGTACCCTGCGGTCCGAAAATAGGGACGCGTTCGATAATAGGGACACAGTTTGTCCGAAAAAATGGTCCTATTTTCGAAACGTTCGATATGTGATGCGTTCAATTTTTGAGGTTCCACTGTATTTAGGAGTGGACGTGTCAGCAGATCGGTCTATGAAAGATGAGGTGACTCATAGAATTGATGAGGGGAAAAGGGTGAGTAGTGCACTAAGGAGTCTGTGGAGACAAAGAACTTTGTCCTTGGAAGCTCTTATATGGGCGTGAAGCATGGGTGATAAATGTTGCAGTGAGGAGAAGGCTGAGGGCAATGTGTGGTGTGAATATAATGCAGAGAATTCATAGTTTGGAAGTTTGGAGGAGGTGTGGGATTGCTAAAACTGTTATCCAGAGGGCTGAGGAAGGGTTGTTGAGGTGGTGTGGACATGTAGAGAGAATGGAACGAAACGGAATGACTTCGAGAGTGTTTAAATCTGTAGTGGAGGGAAGGCAGGGTAGGGGTCAGCCTAGGAAAGGTTGGAAAAGGAGGTAAAAGAGGTTTTGTGCGCAAGGGGCTTGGACTTCCGGCAAGCATGCGTGAGCGTACTTGATAGGAGTGAATGGAAACAAATGGTTTTTAATACCTGACTTGCTGTTGGAGTGTGAGCAAAGTAACATTTATGAGGGGATTCAGGGAAACTGGCAGGCTGGACTTGAGTCCTGGAGATGGGAAGTACAGTGTCTGCACTCTAAAGGAGGGGTGTTAATGTTGCAGTTCTATATACTGTAGTGTAAAGCACCAGTCTGGCAAGACAGTGATGGAATGAATGACGATGAAAGTTTTTCTTTTTCGGGCCACCCAGCCTTGGTGGGAATCGGCCGTTGTGTTAATAAATAAATAAAAATTATGGTTTTGCATATGTACTAGCACCATGGATGTTGTCAGAGTTACCTAGGCAACTAGTGAGATAAAGAAAATGTATCCTCATCCTGGGACTTTCAGAAAGATATAAAGTGCTCTCTCTTTTTTGTATCAAGGACATCCTTTTATCTGGTCATAAATTTTGTATGATAGAGTTGAGGGAATCCCTAGCTTGAGCCCACTATGATTTATACAGTTAAATTTTAAGAAATGATGTATTATCACGAAATTGTCTTGTAAAATGTGCTGAAAGTAAGCCAAATGCCAAGAAAAATCTCAAGAATCTAAGATTTTAAGCCAATACTTCATTGTTTTCCAGTAAATTTTACATGTATATAAGCCTAAAGTGTGTTTAAATGAAAGACTTGCAATTAGCTGATAAATGGACTAATTCTAGTCCCAATGCCATCTTTTAAATGTGTACTTCATTGTTGTTTTCTCAATTGCTTCAGTTGATTGATAGTTTACAATAGTATTCTGTTCAGAATCTTCTAGTTTTCTTAAATTAGACTCCTTACAAACCCTGTTAAAATTTTTTTACCAATGCCGATATTCTGTGAAAAATACATTGTCTCCTCACTTAGCGACGTACTCATTTACCAATGACTCGGACTTACGATGGATTCTCAGACCATTATGCATACATAAATAATGTATATAAGAGCTGATTTCCTCTATTCTGTTTATTACAATATAAAGTACACTACTGTATAAACATTTAAAATTATACTAAAAATGTTATAAATGGTGCAAGGGTGACATTAAAGCAGTATCAAAGATGGTTGACATAAACCCACTACCATTATAGTATGCTCCTCGTTTAGCAACGAATTCTTTTGCCGATGTGATAGTAGGAATGGAACTCCGTCATTAAGTGAGGAGAGGCTGTAGATGGTTTTACACACTATCCCTTTCCCATCTAAATATGTACTGGGAAATTTAGTTTATACTCTTAATGATCATTTTATAAAGTTGTGTACTTAAGATATACTGGGATAAGATACTGTAGATTTTTTATTTTATTGCACTGTGATTGGTACACACATGCAGTTGTGTACATCCTTTAATGAATATTTTTAGCTGAAAGTGTATTTTCCATAGGAACTTGTACCTGTCGATTATTATCATCTGCCACTGTATCTTCAGGAGGGTTCAAAAGCTCTTGCTGATTGCAGTATTGCTATCTCCACGTACAAGGGAAAAGAGAGATCTTTTCTTGTGAATATTGCAACTGCTCTTGGTGCTGTGTAAGTTCCACGGTTATAGTTTTGTTAATGTTTTGCTTGTCTCTCTTCTGCTTCAAACTACACATTTGACTTTTAAAATTAAATGAGATTCAAATTCCTCGAGCAAAGAATATACCAGTCTGCAACCTTACTACATAGTGGTTATCTGCAAATTACATTGTATATTCCGGAGAAGGGAAGTGAGGGGCGGTAATGCTAAAGATAGTTGTAACTTGAATGGGTGGTTTCTTGTCCTTGTTCGATATGAAGGAAGACATATTAGTGAAACAGCTAAGAATTTGGTTGAGTGGAGCATTGGAATTGAATTAAAATAGGACTCGAATTGGGCAAAATTGCCAGTGCATAAAATGCACCCAGACTGCTAATGTTGTATTTGCATAATTACATGAGTTTTCCCATCGAATTTCATACTTTTGGTGTTATGACTTTCAGAAAAAAGATTCTCTACCATTTCAGAATTTTTTTTTTTTTTTTAACCCTTAAACTTTCCAAACGTAGATCTACGTATTTTTAACATTTGAAAGTATGTAAAAAATGTAGATCTTTTTTTTTTTTTTACATTTGAAAACGTGTAAAAAAAACTTTTATCTACATTTTTTTTGTTATATTTGAAAATATGTAAAAAAACGTAGATCCACTTTTGGAGCACTACGGATTTGAACGTCGATCTGTTTGGACAGTTTAAGGGTTAAGGTATGCTATTGCTCTGAGAGCAATATTAATTTTGGGGGTCTGGACAGTGAAACAGGTTAAGAAAATGGATCCCCAAGTGCTCTCATTTGTTGATAAGAGGGAGTGAAGGTAAATGATATCCGCATACTTTATTAGGTAATAAAAGTAGAGTGGACCCTTGGGGAAAGGCTTCATCGGTTAGCGCCAAAATAGGATAATGGCTCGCTTTGCCATCAAAATATTGGCTCGGCTAATGCCAAATAACTCCGTTAAGGGCTTTCATCCCAAACGTGTCCACGCGGCCTGAGCGGGCCTGGCCACTTCATCACTGTGTACAGCCAGTGTGCCATTGTTTACAAAGTCAGTGAGGATGATTCCACATACATGCAATATATTTGTATTATTCCAATGTTTTTAGTACTTGTAACTGCTAAATAACCCACCATGGGCCCAAAGAAAGTTTCTAGTGCCAGCCTTGTGATAAAGAAGGAAAGAAACAATAAAATTCAGGAAAAAACTCATAGCTACACTCCCTTCATGCCTGCTACACTCCCTTCATGCCTGCTACACTCCCTGCATGTCGGCTACACTCCCTGCATGTCGGCTACACTCCCTGCATGTCGGCTACACTCCCTGCATGTCGGCTACACTCCCTGCATGTCGGCTACACTCCCTGCATGTCGGCTACACTCCCTGCATGTCGGCTACACTCCCTGCATGTCGGCTACACTCCCTGCATGTCGGCTACACTCCCTGCATGTCGGCTACACTCCCTGCATGTCGGCTACACTCCCTGCATGTCGGCTACACTCCCTGCATGTCGGCTACACTCCCTGCATGTCGGCTACACTCCCTGCATGTCGGCTACACTCCCTGCATGTCGGCTACACTCCCTGCATGTCGGCTACACTCCCTGCATGTCGGCTACACTCCCTGCATGTCGGCTACACTCCCTGCATGTCGGCTACACTCCCTGCATGTCGGCTGCACTCCCTGCATGTCGGCTGCACTCCCTGCATACCTGCTACACTCCCTGCATGTCAGCTACACTTCCTGCATGTCTGCTACACTCCCTGTATACCAGCTACACTCCCTGCATGCCAGCTACACTCCCTGCATGCCAGCTACACTCCCTGCATGCCTGCTACACTCCCTGCATGCCAGCTACACTCCCTGCATGCCTGCTACACCCTGCGTGCCTGCTACACTCCCTGCCTGCCTGCTACACTCCCTGCCTGCCTGCTACACTTCCTGCCTGCCTGCTACACTTCCTGCCTGCCTGCTCCACTCCCTGTCTGCCTGCTCCACTCCCTGCCTGCCTGCTCCACTCCCTGCCTGCCTGCTACACTCCCTGCCTGCCTGCTACACTCCCTGCCTGCCTGCTACACTTCCTGCCTGCCTGCTCCACTCCCTGCCTGCCTGCTACACTCCCTGCCTGCCTGCTACACTCCCTGCCTGCCTGCTACACTTCCTGTCTGCCTGCTCCACTCCCTGCCTGCCTGCTACACTCCCTGCCTGCCTGCTACACTCCCTGCCTGCCTGCTCCACTCCCTGCCTGCCTGCTACACTCCCTGCCTGCCTGCTACACTTCCTGCCTGCCTGCTCCACTCCCTGCCTGCCTGCTACACTCCCTGCCTGCCTGCTACACTCCCTGCATGTTCCAGAGTGTTCAAGAAAAACAATGTCTCATCTCATCACTCATCAACAAGTCCACAATAAAGGTAAGTGTCATTTCAGTATTGTTTATTGTGCATGTATCATTGTTTTCTGTGTAGGGAAATGTATATTTCATGTAAAAAAATGATTTTGTTTAATACTTTTGGGTGTCTGGAACGGATTAATTGGATTTCCATTATTTCTTAGGGGAAAATTAATTCGACTAAAGGCTAAATCGGTTAAAGGCTAACTCTCTGGAACGGATTAAAGGAGTTACCTGAGGGTCCACTGTATTTTAATTTTTTTTTTTTCTCTCTCTCTCTCTCTCAACAAGTCTGCGATCTCCCACCGAGGCAGGGTGACCCAAAAAGAAAGAAAATCCCCAAAAAGAATATACTTTCATCATCATTCAACACTTTCACCTCCCTCATACATAATCACTATGGTTTATTAACAATATTTTGTGAAGGGATTCAGGGAAACCGGATAGCTGGGCTTGAGTCCTGGAAAAGGGAAGTACCATGCCTGCACTTTAAAGGGAGGGTTTAGGATATTGGCAGTTTGGACATCTAAACTCGTATCTGAGTGCCTCTGCAAAGATAATGATTATGTATGAGTGATGGTGGAAGTGTTGAATGATGAAAGTTTTTTCTTTCTTTTTGGGTTTTTCTTTTTGGGCTACCCTGCCTCGGGGGAGAAGCAGCCGACATGTTAAAAAAAAGAAGAAATGGAATACAAGAATCTATATTTGTAAACTGAGAACAGAGTGGTACTAGAAAGATATCTGGCAGTTTTCCAGGTCATTGGTTTATACAGACTTAAATTTTGCACCGATGAAAGCAACAGTATGAAGAGGGAGTAGTCCAGGAATTAATCAACTAACCCATTATTCCATCAACTGTGAAAGAACCCAGACTAAGCTTAATTGAACAAAAAGGCACAATACTGTGACTGGAACAATACACTAATAACCTGGACATAGGAGTTATTGGTGCAGGTTATTTGTGTAAGTTTAATTGACCGAATTGTTGCTCCAAATTACTCTTTAAAGCTTTCTAATACCATCTTGGGTACAACATAATCTTTCGTTGTTTTTTGTTAAAAGCACAGTATTATTATTTAGATATTTTTTTTTTTTTTATAAATATTTCTATGCTCTTTAGTTTTTAACATACCAGCCATCTCACCAAGTTAGGATGACCTGAAAAAAACTAGAAACACTTTCACTATTATTTGTTCAGTTACTGTCTTGCCAGAAGTATGTCAACACCACACCTCAGATAATTTTCCAAATTGTTATATTCCCATCTCTCCATCAGAGGGCAGGCACTATTACTCTAGGACTCGAGTCCAACTAACTAGTTTTCCCGAGTCCCTCCATCAGTGTTACCTTACTCACACTCCAACAGCATGTCAAATCATAAAAACCTCTTGCCTTCACTCATTCACATCTCACATGCTCACACAAGCCTGTTGGATGTCCAAACCCCTAGCACCCAAAATCTCTTACCACTTCACTCCATTCTTTCCTGGGATTACCCTTATCCCTCCTTCCTCTGTCCAGATTTATTTGCCTTCCTAGTCATCCTGTTTAGAAGTATACATTTATAATTAACTATGGGTCAAGCTATTCCATATTGGAAGACTACTACTTGCATATCTTCATTGTTCCTTTTCAGATTTCAGGAGGTATTTGCCAAAAAATCTAGTACAGCAAAAAATATCAAAGCCTCCACCCACCTTGTATGCCCAGCAGCTGAGGGTGACAAGTATCGTGCTGCTGTTAAATGGGGTGTGCCAGCTGTTACACGTGACTGGTTGCTTGAATGTGCCCGAACCCTCAAGAAGGAACCAGAAGATAGTTTTAAGGTTGACAGTAAACATTTCTGTGATATGGACAGGAAAGGTCTTGTATTAGGGATTCTTGGTAAGTTTTAGTACCACATAATATACTTGACCAGGTTGAAAAATAGTGTTGTGTGGGGAGACAGACTTGATCAGAAACAGTTTAAAAGAGGTACATGTTTGCCTTTGACTTGGTGAAAATGCTCAGCAAATTCACATTTTTCAATGTTAATGTATTTGTTTTTTTCCAACACGTCGGCCATCTCCCAGGCAGGTTGACTCCTAAAAAAAAAAGAAACACTTTCACCATCATTCACACACAATTTCTCTTTGCAGAGGCATCCAGATATGATAGTTCAGATGTCACTCTAAACAGCCTGTATCCCAAACCCCTCCTTTAAAGTGCAGGCATTGTAGTTCCCACCTGCAAGACTCGAGTCCAGCTAACTGGTTTCCCTGAATCCCATCACAAAATATTACCTTGCTCACACTCCGACAGCTCATCAAGTCCCAAAAACCATTTGTCTCCATTCACTTCTGTCTAACATGCTCACACATGGCTGCTGTACGTCTAAGCCTCTTGCACGCAAAACCTCTTTCACCTTCTCCCTCCATCCTTTTCTAGGATGACCCCTAGCCCTTCACCTCTCCACTACAGATTTGTATACCCTCCAGGTCATCCTATTTTACTCTATTCTCTCTAAATGACCAAACCACCTCAACAACACCCATATAAGAGTGTTGGTTCCACTATACTCTCATACATTCCCTTCTTTGCCTCCATAAATAACGTTCTTTGTCGCCACAGATACCTCAGTGCACCACCCACCCTTTTTCCTTCATAAATTCTATGGTTTACTTCGTCCTTCATAAACCCATCTGCTGACAAGTCTACTCCCAAATATCTGAACACATTCATTTCTTCCATACTCTCTCCCTCCAGTGTGATATCTAGTTTTTCTTTACCTAACTTGCTTGATACCCTCATCACCTTACTCTTATCTATGTTCACTTTCAACTTTATTACTTTACACACCCTCCCAAACTTGTCCCCTAACCTTTGCAACTTCTCTTTAGAATCTTCCAAAAGCACTGTATCATCAGCAAAAAGTAACTATCAACTCCCATTTTGTATTTGATTCCCCATAATTTAACCCCACCCCTCTCCCCAACACCCTAGCATTTACTTCTTTTACAACCCCATCTGTAAATAATGTCAAAGAAAACTCAGATGAGTGTATATACATGTGTACATGCATATGTAGTGTGACCTAAGTGTAAGTAAAAGTAGCAAGATATACCTGTTATCTTGTGTGTTTGAGGCAGAAAAAAGACACCAGCACTTCAACCATCCTGTAAAACAAATACAGGTTTCTGTCTTGCACTCATTTGGCAGGACAGTAGTACGTCCCTGGGTGGTTGCTGTCTACCAACCTATGATGTAATTTTAACATGTTATCGTTAATAAACTGGCAGTCAGTTCTGATTTGAACTCTGCATTCTCCAACAGTCCATTGCAAACCTCATGACACTATTTTCACACACTGCCTCACACAAATCTGCCTCGCAACCCTAAATGTCCTTCACTCACTACACACTAGTCTACTCGCAACATTGGATGTCCTTCACATACTGTAATGCAAAACAACTCATCCTAGCCTTCACAAGCAATCATACACAATGCACTAAGAATAATGGTAACAAGCTTGTACCAAATGCATACACTTTAATGGGCTTTTTTTGTGGCTCATTGGATGTTCACTCACTTCTGGAAAGACATGTGGTAAATGAGTGATGGTGAATGTATTTTCCTTTGTTGAAAAAATCTCTATCTATATATCTGGCAAGACAGTGATAGTGAATGATGGTGAGTGCTTGTTTTTCAGGTCACTCTGCCTCAGTGGGAGATGGCCAGTGTATTAAAAAAAGTGCGTGTGTGTGTGTACTCGCCTAGTTCTGGTTGCAGGGGTCGAGTCACAGCTCCTGGCCCCTGTGTGTGTGTGTGTGTGTTTGCATGTGTGTGTGTTTGCATGTGTGTGTGTGTGTTGTGCATGTGTGTTTGCATGTGTACTCACCTGTTTGTGGTTGCAGGGGTCGAGACATAGCTCCTGGCCCCGCCTCTTCACTGGTTGCTACTAGGTCCTCTCCCTGCTCCATGAGCTTTATCATTCCTTGTTTTAAAACTATGTATGGTTCTTGCCTGCACTACATCACTTGCCAAACTATTCTACTTCCTGACAATTCTGTGACTAAAGAAATACTTCCTAACATCTCTCCGACTCATCTAAGCCTTCAGCTTCCAATTGTGACCCTTTGTTTGTGTGTCCCATCCCTGGAACATCCTGTCTCTGTCCACCTTGTCAATTCTTCGCAGTATTTTGTATGTCGTTATCATGTCTCCCCCTAACCCTCCTGTCCTCCAGTGTCGTCAGGCTGATTTCCCTTAGCCTTTGTTTGTAGGACATTCCCTTGATCTCTGGAACTAGCCTTGATGTGTTTGCATGTGTGTGTGTCTGTGCATGTGTGTGTGTGTCTGTGCATGTGTGTTTGCATGTGTACTCACCTGTTTGTGGTTGCAGGGGTCGAGACATAGCTCCTGGCCCCGCCTCTTCACTGGTCGCTACTAGGTCCTCTCCCTGCTCCATGAGTTTTATCATTCCTTGTTTTAAAACTATGTATGGTTCTTGCCTGCACTACATAACTTGCCAGACAATTCTACTTCCTGACAATTCTGTGGCTAAAGAAATACTTCCTAACATCTCTCCGACTCATCTGAGCCTTCAGCTTCCAATTGTGACCCCATGTTTGTGTGTCCCATCCCTGGAACATCCTGTCTCTGTCCACCTTGTCAGTTCTTCGCAGTATTTTGTATGTCGTTATCATATCTCCCCCTAACCCTCCTGTCCTCCAGTGTCGTCAGGCTGATTTCCCTTAACCTTTGTTTGTAGGACATTCCCTTGATCTCTGGAACTAGCCTTGATGTGTTTGCATGTGTGTGTGTCTGTGCATGTGTGTTTGCATGTGTACTCACCTGTTTGTGGTTGCAGGGGTCGAGACATAGCTCCTGGCCCCGCCTCTTCACTGGTCGCTACTAGGTCCTCTCCCTGCTCCATGAGTTTTATCATTCCTTGTTTTAAAACTATGTATGGTTCTTGCCTGCACTACATAACTTGCCAGACTATTCTACTTCCTGACAATTCTGTGGCTAAAGAAATACTTCCTAACATCTCTCCGACTCATCTGAGCCTTCAGCTTCCAATTGTGACCCCATGTTTGTGTGTCCCATCCCTGGAACATCCTGTCTCTGTCCACCTTGTCAGTTCTTTGCAGTATTTTGTATGTCGTTATCATATCTCCCCCTAACCCTCCTGTCCTCCAGTGTCGTCAGGCTGATTTCCCTTAACCTTTGTTTGTAGGACATTCCCTTGATCTCTGGAACTAGCCTTGATGTGTTTGACCAGGTGTGGGTTCCAAACTGGTGCTGTATACTCCAGTATGGGCCAGACATACACAGTGTATAGTGTCTTGAAGGATTCCTTACTGAGGTATCGGAATGCTATTCTCAAGTTTGCCTGGCGCCCATATGCTGCAGCAATTATCTGGTTGATGTGCGCTTCAGGAGATATGCTCGGTATTATACTCGCCCCAAGATCCTTTTCCTCGAGTGAGGTTTGCAGTCTGTGGCCACCTATCCTATACTTTCTTTGCCCTTCCCCGATCTTCATGACTTCGCATTTTTTTTTATTTTAACAAGTCGGCCGTCTCCTACCGAGGCAGGGTGACCCCAAAAAAGAAAGAAAATCCTCAAAAAGAAAATACTTTCATCATCATTCAACTCCTTCACCTCACTCACACATAATCACTGTTTTTGCAGAGGTGCCCAGAATACAACAGTTTAGAAGTATATACGTATAAAGATACACAACATATCCCTCCAAACTGCCAATATCCCGAACCCCTCCTTTAGAGTGTAGGCATTGTACTTCCCATTTCCAGGACTCGAGTCCGGCTATATAAAAATAACCAGTTTCCCTGAATCCCTTCACTAAATATTACCCTGCTCACACTCCAACAGATTGTCAGGTCCCAAATACCATTCGTCTCCATTCACTCCTATCGAACACGCTCACACACGCCTGCTGGAAGTCCAAGCCCCTCACCCACAAAACCTCCCTTACCCCTTCCTTCCAACCTTTTCGAGGATGACTCCTACCCCGCCTTCCTTCCCCTACAGATTTAAATGCTCTCCATGTCATTCTACTTTGATCTATTCTCTAAATGACCAAACCACCTCATCAACCCCTCTTCACCCCTCTGACTAATACTACTTTTACTAACTCCACACCTTCTCCTAATTTCCAGACTCCGAATTTTCTGCATAATATTTACACCACACATTGCCCTTAGACAGGACATCTCCACTGCCTCCCTTCTTTGCCTCCACAGATAACTTTTTTTGTCTCCACATAATACCTCAACACACCACTCACCATTTTTCCCTCATCAATTCTGTGATTAACCTCATCCTTCATAAATCCATCCGCCGACACATCAACTCCCAAGTATCTGAAAACATCACTCCTTCCATACTCCTCCTCCCCAATTTGATATCCAATTTTTCTTTATCTAAATCATTTGATACCCTCATCACCTTACTCTTTTCTATGTTCACTTTCAACTTTCTACCTTTACACACACTCCCAAACTCCTCCACTAACCTTTGCAGTTTTTCTTTAGAATCTCCCATAAGCACAGTATCATGAGCAAAAAGCAACCATGTCAATTCCCATTTTGTATTTGATTCCCCATAATTTAATCCCACCCCTCTCCCAAACACCCTAGCATTTACCTCTTTTACAACTCCGTCTGTAAACATATTAAACAACCATGGTAACATTACACATCCCTGTCTAAGACCTACTTTTACCGGGAAGTATTCTCCCTCTCTTCTACACACCCTAACCCGAACCTCACTATCCTCATAAAAACTCTTTGCAGCTTTATTAACTTACCACCTATTCCATATACTTGCAACATCTGCCACATTGCTCCCCTATCCACTCTATCATATGCCTTTTCTAT